GCTGCATGGGGCAAGCACAAATAAATGGCCAGGCCACAGAGTGGCCATCGAGGCAGCAATTAAAAAGCCCCACTGCTGGCAAACAAGGGAGCAGCTAATGCTCTGCCTCATTGAGTCATTAATTTTCAGGAAAGCCAAAGGTAAGATATGGCACTGACAAGTGCGAATGGGAGGGGTGGGGCAGCCTTGCAACCTTTGCAATTTGTCCCCATCGATTAGTGTCCGGCGCACATCGTCTCTGCCTGACAGCCTGACAGCCATGTCCACGTCTATTATTTTCAACTTAACGTGGCGCGCGCCTCTGACAATTGCCCAGGACATTTGCCCCGCCCACTGTCCGCTGTCCGCTGTCCGCTGCCCGCCCCTACATTTCCAACCGCACCCCACCCCCGCACAAAGGGCGACACAATGCGACTTGCTCACCGCAAAAGCTGCACAATGGCCGACCTACAACTCACTTCCTTCCGCTGTATGGGGCCACGCCCGTCTTGCCCCCCATACTTTGTTGCTTCCTCCAAACACTGCCACTTTCCACTCCCTCCCAACCAGCCAGCTGGCCGCTTGCCTCACCCTTCTTCGTAATATCTTTAAGGTTTTTCTGTTTGGCTGTTTTCCTTCTTTTTTTTTTTGCTGCCGCTGGGCAACGTGTGTCCAGCGGAAATGACAACGACAGTGGCAATTACATTGTTGCATGACACAAATAGTGTTGCCTACAACAACGACTAACGAAACCGACAACAACAACGGCCGCCAAGACAGGGACAAGGTATAGGATAGTGTGAATGCACTGTGGCAACGATGTTTCAACCTACGGATACCCTATATCCCATGGCTACCCAGGGAATACCTTCATTATTGACTTCATTCGGGACTCGATTCTCTTGGATGGCAGACAGAAAAGTCATCCTTTGGTCGTGTCCACTAATCAACGCACAAAAGAGACCGAGCATGCCCTCTGCCACCTCATGGCCCGCTGGCGGCAGGAGGTTCAAAAAATAAAATTTTCCTGTCCATGTGCAGGAACACGATTGTGTGTCTGTCTCCGGCCGGGTGTTTGTGGGAGGGGCGGGGCGGGTTTGTTGCAGAGGTAAAAATTTAATTGATGTCAGGTCGTAAAAAATGCGGCAAGTTCACTCGCTTTAAACGCGTGGCTGACCCGCCAGCGTTTATTTAATTGTTATCAAATGTCCTTCCTTTCAGTCCACGATCCGTGCCGTATAGCGTATGCCGTATGGCGTCTGCGACATGCCGTGTGTCCTGTGTGCATGTTTATCGTTTGTCCTTTGTCCGAATGGAACCCATTGGCCATTCTCCATTCAACATGGCCACTGCCACTGCCATGGCCGAGTGCCAAACTAATTGCTACAAATTAACGCCTTTATGCCCGGGCCAGCTGTGCGTGGATCTGCCAAGTCCCCAGCTCCAGCTGGGCCTTGCCTTCGACCCTTCGAGCCTTCGCCTGGTCCTTTGCCCCATCCCTTTGCGTGTGCAACTCAATTATGCCACAATACACATTAATATGGCACCTAAATTTGGTTGAATCGTCGACAACTCGGAATGCCTTTCGGCAGTATTCCAATTGGGATACTTACGATGAATCATCTGTCCGCCAAATGCCAATCGAATGGCTATGGAATTTCATACCATACAAAAACTATTAAATACAAAATGGATTCTAAACTTTTACAAACTTTATTTCAAGTCAAATTCTCTCCAAATCATGAATACCTTTCAGGAGTTATGGAGAACTTGTCCAAGTTTGTCAAGACTCGTTTCAGTTTTAAACGGGTTTAATTATTTTGCTTCTAATGAATCCAATAAATAATAAACACTCCGTTCATTTCAATTTCCGGAAATGTTCCTTGCCGAATGTTTGTTGCACCTGCTTCGAAAATTATAGATTTGTTGCTTGTCGAAATAAATCAAAACTTTGGCCAATAAACAAAGTGAAAGCCGCATTAAATTTTTGCCAGACTTCCAGCTATTTGAAGGGTCCAGGCCAAGGGAAGGAGCAACAGCAGGAGCTCCCTTATCCGTTGCCACACAATTTGTGCCACTTAACACCTCGCTGGCTGCCAGTCGAAGCGCAACAAATCGTTTATTTTGAATTATTTTAATTTAAGCATTTTTCTTGTTTTGGTTTCCTTCTTTTTGCCGTATTTTGCTTCTGCCTTTGACAAAATATTAGACAAATTTTGTGCGCTTGCTTGCATTTTCTCCAGCTGTGATTTGTTTTATTTTTTGTGTGTATTATTTTTTTCTTTTTACCCCGGGCCAGAAGAGGGACTGCGACAGACGACAGACGACAATTTGTGTCGCTCGGTTGTCAGGACAACAACAACAACAACAACAAAAACAACAGCAACGGCGCGTATACGTAATAATAAATGAGAAGTGGAAAAGTTTCGCCGCCGCCGTGCTTATTGTCAAGCTCGGCCAGGCCATAAAAAACAAACTTCAATAGCAATAAGGCGACAAAAAAGAGCAAAAAAAAAAAGAGCGGAAAAAAGAAAAGCTGCCGGACCAAAGGAACATCGGGGCTGAAACAAAAACAGCAGCAGAAAAAGTTCAAGGCACTGACTTTATAGCTGCAATAATGCCCAAAGAGGACCGGACCTCTCTAGCTGGCGGGGGGGCGAAAAAGGTGAGCCACACGCCAACAACATCAGCACACAAAACAAAGCCAGTTGCAGCCAACACCGCCAGTGGCAGTGGCAGCGGCAACGGCAACGCCAGGGGGCAAGAAGCCGGAAGGTGGGGCAGGAGATATGTGGCAGGAGGAAGCAGGCAGGAAGCAACAAGGCCACGCCATACCGCGCCAATGTGTTGAGGCACTTTGGCGAGGTAACGAAATGTAACAAAGTGCCGGGGCGTGGCGGGTTGGAACAGACTGGGGACGGCCATCGGAAGAGGAGATGTGGTGTCGGTAAGGACTAAGGACCAAGGACTAAGACTATCGTATCGGGTTAGGTTTGTTATGTGGCCTATGCCGGAAATTTGTGTTTAGAAGGCCGTTGGCATTGTTCTTGTTGCTCTTTTTTTGTGTCCAAGCTCAAACGATTTTACAACGTGTAAGGACATACATTAATGATCAGCTTTATATCATTAAAATTAGTTCTTTCAGCCGCTTCCACCTTAATTTCTTGCTGTCCTTTTAAAGATTGGAGTTTCTAAAAGAATCTTGATTTGCCACGACTATTAGGCGATTTATTGGAGAAGGAAGTTTGGACAGACGACAGGAATTTTCCAAATGAAATAGACTCTTAATGTTGCAGAACAAAAATCCCAAAGTTTTAGAGCCAAAGGTTAAACGGTTAAGGGCTAAAGACTGAGCTCACAGCCTAAAACGGGGATTATCAAAGCCTTTAATGGATATTTTATTAGTTTTTCCATGTAATATTATTTCAAGAGGCCTCTTCCGTTGGTCAGAAAAAAGTCTTGACGTTGGGAATCGCATGACACGTGCCGCGACACTATGCTACTACTACTATATGCAATCCCTCCGGATAGATATGAAAGATAACCATCATCACTTTCGGTTTTCTCGTATCTTCAAGATGTGGCTGACACAGGAGTTTCCATTCAAAATTTGCTTGTTTTAGCTCCAGGCTCTGACAGACACGACCATATAGAAAGGAAATGCTTCCTTCCGGCTGGTTCATGAATCTACACGACTTTAATATATCTCTGTTCTCATAAAAAACATTTGATCGATGACGTTTTATCAGATTATTACCCATTCATTGACTCACATTAACTTGAAGCCAAATGCGCCGATGGCATTTCAATAATTTAATATTTATCTACGTGGAGAAGCGATATTAATGACCCGGCCCGGTCATTGCCAGGGCAATGACAAAAGGACAACGATATTCAGGGGCACGCACAGCCAAGTAAAACGGACCACAATCCCCATGGACCTGGGACATGGAGGCAGGCCCTCCAGGTAAGCAAACAAGCAAATAGACGGACACGGAAAACGACAAGGCAGCCCCAACACTCCGCCCGACAGAGTGACAGACTGATGGGCAGGCACCGGCCCAGGGCACATTAATAATGTCAATAGAGAGACAATAGTTGAAAATTAACAAATGAATTGAAATTACTTAAACAAACTCATTAGCGTGTGAAAGTCAAAGGCCTGTCATAGTCCTACAGCGAGTACTTTTGACACCAATTGTTCCAGCGACAGCGCCAGCCTTCAGTCCTGCTCTATGGCGTCCGAGTGATGTCCCCATGGGGGATCTGCGGACAAGCATTAACATTCCGGCAGATACAGTTAAGGTGGAGGGGAGTCATTTTTGTGCTTACCCCGTGTAAGCATTGGACAACGCCTCTGCTGCCCCGACCCCCCCAGGAAATTTTCCATCGAATGGCTAGGAGTTTTTGGCCCATTTCGCCTCGCCATTGCATGTAATTAAATTTCCCAACCCTAATGTGCGAAGCATAGTAATTTAGTTTCACATTCCCCCCAGCACTGTCCCGGGGGTCAGTCTGTCTGTCTGCCTGCCTGCCTGCCACGAGTTTAAATTGTCAGAAACTGTGACAGGTCGACACCTTTCCGCGGAGGGCAGGCCAGGGCTGGGAATGGGAATGGGAAGGGGCGAAAGGTGGGGCCACAGCCCGCATATCTATAATTTTCATTAATTTTAATTGGCTTTGGGTGTGGACGAGCTGCGTTCAGTGTGTTCATTTGAGCACCGGCGAGCGCCAATAAATTATTCAAGTTTTTTATTGAATTTTAAAGAGTGGGGATCGGTTGTTGTGACACTTGTTAAAGAATCACCTAGATTAGTAGCCAAATATCTAAAGCATGGGGTAGTTTCTCATCTAACAAAGTAGGTCTCGTCCGAAACTTCGTCAGCTGTCAATGTCAGATAGTTGGATTATTCACATCCATCATGTTTACATCAGATTGGGCTTTTGGCTTTTAAAGTTTCTACTGCATTGTTTTTGTTTCTGTCAGATGCAAATTGCGTAGAAATTCGAAATTTTTAGTGTTTTTCTTGACCTTTGTGCCACATTTAAACTGCATTATGCTATCCAGAGTTTGTTCCAGCTGGGTCTCTTCGCCGCCTCTGCTGAGGAAGACGGGTTGCTTGACGCTGCCAAAGTCGAGGCAGGCGTGCACGCATAAGAGGACCCCCACGCGGCTGGAGCACCTGTGCGCCATGAAAAAGGAGGAATACGATGTTCTGGTGATTGGCGGAGGCTCTGCCGGCTGCGGCTGTGCGGTGGACGCCGCGAGTCGCGGCCTCAAAACGGCCCTAATAGATGCCGTGGACTTCTCCAGTGGCGCCAGCTCAAAGTCGAGCAAACTAATTGACGGCAGCGGCTCCTATATCACTGATATCATCCGGGACAAGGACTTCGAGCACCTGCACATGATGCAGCAGGTGATGAGCGAGCGTGCCACCATGCTGAAGATCGCCCCCCATCTGAACCGGGTCCAGCCGATGCTCATGCCGATCTACAGTGTCGTCCGCTTGCCCCTCTATTGGCTGGGCTTCAAGGTGAGCATGGACGCGACGTATTAAGTATTCAATATTTACTCCATATCCCCATCTCAAGGCGTACGACTGGTTGGCTGGAGCGTCGAACGTGCGCAGCTCTCACTTCCTCTCCAAAGAGGAAACCCTCGACGAATTCCCCCTGCTGAAGTCCAAGGGTCTGCGTGGCGGACTGGTCTACTACGATGGCCAGGTGGACGACGCCCGTATGTGCATAGCCCTCGTCATGACAGCCGTCCATCTGGGGGCGAATGTGGCCAACCACATGGAGCTGATCGAGCTGATACGCAAGGATGGCTGCTGTCGGTGTGCCGGAGTCCGGGACGTCCTCACCGACGAGAAGTTCTACATCGAGGCCAAGTCGGTGATCAATGCCACAGGCGCCCACACGGACACAGTTCGACAGCTGAGCGATAGCACAACGATGCCGATTTCCATGCCCACCCTGGGCACCACCCTCGCCCTGCCCAGCTACTTCGGCTCGCTCCAGTACGGCCTGCTATGTCCTGCCGCATCGCAGCATGACCCGACGCTGGTAATGGTACCCTTCGAGAACCACGTTCTGCTTGGCACTTCGGAGGGCGTTGTCGATGATATTGGACAGATCCCCACGCCCCAGCCGGAAGATGTGGAGCTGCTGTTGGACTCGGCCCGCGATCACATGGAAAAAACCGTTCAACTGGGTCCGGAAAATGTGCTCAGCGCCTGGACAGCCATGCGGCCGGCCGTAGTCTGCCCATCGGAGGCCAGACCGGAGGCAAGACCGGAAGTAAGACCAGAGGCAGGCCCGGAGCTAGGACTGGAGCTAAGACCGGACGCAGTTGTAGACAAGAAACGGCCGCTGGTACGCAACTATCTTCTGGAGATCAGCGAGGGCCGTCTGATCACCTTGGGCGGCGGCCGTTGGAGCACCTACCGCGTGATGGCCGCCGAGGCGGTGGACGCCGCCATCGACGTGTGCGACCTGAACCCCGACCTGCCGGATAGCTGCACCAGTGATCTGATCCTGGACGGAGCAGAGAACTGGTGCTTTATGCTCCCCCTCGACTTCGTTCAGGCCTACGACGTGCCCATGGACGTTGCACAGCACATTGCCGACTCCTATGGATCGAATGGTCACACCCTCCTATCGGAGGCCACGTCAAAGAAGCGCCTGCACTGCCACTTCCCCTACATCGAGGCAGAGGTGCAATATGCAGCCAGGCACGAGTACGCCTGCACCCTGGTGGACATCATTGCGAGACGACTGCGCGTGGCCTTTGTGGATGCGTTGGCCGCACTCGACATGCTGCCACGCATCCTGGACATCATGTCCGAGCACCACAAGTGGAGTGAGACCGAACAGACGAAGCAACTGGTGCTGGCCCAGCACTTTCTGGTGCGTCAGATGGGCCTGGGATCTGTTGTGAAGGCCAAGAAGAAGCTCCAAACGAACGCCAAAATCAAGGAGTCAACGACTACCGCTTCGTGTCCGTCGAAGCCGCAGATCCATGCCAGGAAATTCTTCAAGGCTCTTGCCATGGGTGTGTCATCTCCCAAAATAGTACATAGCCTGTGTCGTAAGCCAAAGAAATCGGAAAAGTACCAGTTCGCTGTGACCAAGACCAAAAAGAAGAGCACTGCCAAAGAGAAATTTCCTACTCCGGAGACACCGTATGGGTTCCTGGCCTTGCCCGGGACGAGCGGCATCACCACGGCAGCAGCCACCTCTCCAGCCCCACCCGAGACGGGCCTGGATCCCACTACCACGTCCACGGACAAGCGCGATCCGCCCTCTTCAGTGTGGCGCAACAAATTCATGTGCTGAGCAAAACCATTGTCCTACTCCCTATCACGAGATGCCACATATGAAGTCGAGTGCCAGCAAGCTTGGGTAAAAACTAAGGTCTGTTCGCCACAGTCCGAAGTGCATAGATACCGTGAATAAAGCAGATGCATTTCAAATGTTTCTAGTTTTCGTTTTAAATATTTTTGAATTAAAAGAAAACTTCAATACTTTTCGGCACTAAAATGGCACAGCCAAGTCGATTCAGTGTTCAAAAGGTAGAAATTTGTTGTCAAAAGGGGTATTTATCGAACACTGCACAATGCTCAGAATTCTGGTAGCTTCCTCCAGCTAACTCTTGAGTTGAATGTATCAAAGTCCCTGATATACAGCGATTTTATGTATTCCCTAGGGAGATCTGGGGTGACTAATAGCTTCAGCGATAGTCCAATAACCCCACATCAGCATAATGTTCCGAGAAAGCCTCTGCCCTTTACCGATATGTTCCAATTTATTTATAACCTTTGAAGGCGAACCTTTGATAAGAAGCGAACGAAGCTTTCATTCTACTTCATTCGCAGGGCAAATATCAGTCTCTTTCTCCTTTTGATGTGAAGTGGCTGAGTAGTCTCAAAGAGCTGCCATAATGCTACTGGGCTTGATCTTGCTATGTGTCCTGCGATATTCGACCGGGGAATTGACGACACCCGTAGCAAATAGCGATGCCAAGGTGGGATTACACTATGCCAATAGGAAACTCAGGAAAACATAATTCGAGAGCTATTTTTGTTGAATTTTAGGACTTCGATACGGCTGGGTCGCTGGAGCACCAGTGTCGATCCTACTGCTTTCCCATGGTAAGGTCTATGCTCAAGGATGTTACGTCTTTGAGTAGTGTGGAAAATGAAGTTGGGCAGTACAAGAGCAGGTTGAACGACTGTGAGCACAGAAGCAGGGAGATGGACGGGCTGTTCAACATCCAGAGCTCGATGTTGCAGAGCTTGAAGGATTCGTATGTTACGCAACTTCGAATGAACTCCAATATGGGAACCTACTTTGCGAAGTTGCTGTCGGCCCTAGCGGAGACGGGCAGCTTGAAGTCCCCGGTCCACCAACCGGGCGAGAAATCCCCATTCCAGCAACTGCTTGAGCAACAAGAAAGAATCGGGAATCAGGCTCCCAGCAGCTGTCGCAACTTCATTGGCTCCAGCGATATTCATATGATAACCGTTCCTGGAGTGGATCCGTTCCCAGTGCCCTGCGAGTCGCGAGTTGCTGGACCTGGCTGGATAGTCGTCCAGAGACGCATTGACGGAGCAGTGAGCTTTGAGCGACAGTGGGCTGAATACATGAACGGCTTTGGCGACCTGAGCGGCGAGTTCTTCATTGGCCTTCAGAAGCTGCATTGCCTGACTAAGCACCGGCGCCACGAGCTTTATATTGAGCTGCAGGACTTCAATGGTAGCGTCGCCCATGCCCGTTACGATAACTTCCAAGTGGGCAGCGAGGAGGAAGCCTTCGAGCTCCAGTCGCTTGGCGAATTTTCTGGAACTGCAGGCGACTCGCTGACCCACCACCTCAACGGGAACTTCTCCACACCTGATCAAGACAGCAATCCGTCCACGACTGAAATTTGCCCCCCAATCTCAAATTTTGGTGGCTGGTGGTTCGAGGATTGCGCCCAAAGGTAATTGATATGTTTACAAGTATTGTGCTCTACTTTAGTTTCGTACTTTTTCAGTTCTCTAAATGGACGATATATGGATTATGACGCAAATGCCGATAACACTCAGCGTGGCATCTTCTGGGCTTCATGGCGGCCCTCGGACAGAATGGCTTTGATTAAGTCTGTAAAAATAATGATCAGGGACCTCGAACAACCCTGGAAAGTTACAGAAACTACAGCAAATACCGATTAAATTTCAATTACATTGCTATTGAGCAATAAAATTGTAGCGAACAATCTTATCCAACACTCTTTTTTTTAGATTTGTAGAAAACATTCAGCACCAACGCGCAGTAGCCCGTGCTTTTACGTTTTGTTCAAGTGAATTATTCCTAGACGATTTTCTGTTCATTCCGTAGTACAAGTCGAAGTGTAAGGAACAGTTTCCAAGGCTCTAATCAAAAATTCATTTCCAAAAAAAAAAAGTTTTTCTTGATTAAACATTTTTTGATTAATTGTAATAGCGACATGTTAAGTCAAATGCAAGTCAAGACCAATACCGGTGGCGATCTTCCCGTCAATTGTCTAGACGGGTCCTTGGCGACCAGTGCCACCGAAGAAAGCAAGAAGGACGAGCCGGCGAAGACGAGCAAGCCGGAGTTGGGCAAGCTGCACAAGCCAGGCCGCAAGTCAAGCAGCAAGCCAAAGAAGTCCAAATCGTCGTCCTCGTCCGAGACTTCATCGTTGTCTTCGATAAGCATGGGCTACAACGAGTCGGACCTCACGGGCAGCACTAGCCCTGACAGGTCGTCAAACAGCAGCGACTCGTCTGCCCATCGCTGTTGCCGTCGCCGTTCGCACCGACGTTCACGTCACGAGAAGCCGTCAAACACCCATCGACGCCGCTCGGGACATTCCAAGTCCAGCAAGAGCTGCATGCGTCGTCGCGCACTTCCAGTCACCGATTCGGCTCCGAAAGAAGGTGCTGAAGGTGCCAATTCTGATTCAGAAGAGGATGCGCGTCCGTCTCGTAAGAAGCGCAACAACCGCTACAAAGATGTTGCCATCCAAACGTCTCCACCAAAGAAGTCCATCCACAAATCGAAGCCAGCTGCCGCTCGAACCAGCTCCAGCTCCCGTTCCGGTTCCGTTGCGAAGACAGCAAGTCATGCTTCCAAGGCGGAAGGTGCTGGTTCCAGTTCCAAAGCTGATAACATGTCAGACTCGACTGGTTCCAACTCGAAACCAAAGAACTCTAGTTCCAATGCAAAACCAATCAGCGATGCTCTGGGCACAAAACCAAAAGATCCTGAATTAACTACGAAGGACTCCAAGGACTCGACAAAGACCGTCGACGAAGAAATTAAACACTCGGTGACCAACTCCAGTTTGGATATCAAGCCAACCGATACTGGCTCCAATCCGAAGCTATCGATAGTTGCTTCGAAGCCTATCGACACTGGTTCCAATACCAAGTGTCAGACGACCAATTCCAAAGGTGATGTGAAACCAACAACGCTACCAATAACTAGCAATTCCAGTGCCAATTCCAAGCCAGGCAAAGCTGCTGGTACTTCGCAGCTCCCAGTGGCCTCCATTACTTCCAATTCTGGCTCCAATCAGCCGCCAGCTAAGCCTGGTTTGATGCAGCGAAGCATCCGCACCCGCTCTCGCTCCCCTTCCCGCTCCCGCTCTCGTTCACGTTCCCGTTCCCGTTCCCGTGGGCACTCCAAGTCGCGCAGCCCCACCCGCAACAGATACCGCCGTATGACATCTCCGAACTCGACAAGGTACGGGCGTGAAAGAGGCAGCTGCCATTCAGGGGCTCCGCCAATCTCGAAGGTGAGGCTGCACATCAAGGGACTGAGCCGCCAGGTAACCAAGGAGCATGTGACCGAGATCTTTGGGAACTTTGGCCCCCTGACAGCAGTCGACTTCCCGATTGAACTCTACGGGGATCACACGGGCCGCGGATTCGCCTTCGTGGAGTTCGCCAATCCAACGGACTGCGCACGCGCCATCAAGAACATGGACGGAGGCCAGATCGACAGCAGAAGGATCGTGGTGTCGGCCTTCCGCCCGACCAAGGTCCGCGCCACCTGGCGCCGCCGCTACTCTCCCGTCCACGGCAGCGGGGGCTCACGTACCCGTTCTCGATCCCGTTCTCGCAAGCGTTCCAGCTCCGCTTCCCGTAGCCGCTATCGCTCACGCTCGTCGCCTCGTTACGGCCAGTGTCGTGGCCCCAAGCCACGTGGCTATCAATATTAAGCCGAAGGACTGGTCCGATATCGACTGCGCCTCCTGACCACGACGAACACTTAACAAAATCACACCTCCATATTATTTGTAGCCCTTGAAACTTTCAGGAATATTTGGGCAGCTGCTATTTCAACACTAATGTCACACAAACACACTAACATGAATCCCATTCAATTAACTCGAACTATGTAATTCCTTCAATCAAATTGTAAAATACAAAATCATCGGGTTCGGATGAAAAGAAACCCGTTTTGGATTTCGATTCCCCTCCTTTTTCGAGTCGCTGGCAGTCGTTAAGGCATTTTTGTGTTCGATTTTTCTTCTTTTTGCTGGCGTTACTTTGGCAATTTATTTTTGTCGTTTGTTTTTAATAAATGAGCTATATTTTCCTGCTGGTAGGGGGCCACGCGACCCATTTTGAATTATTGTTATGGGTGCTGTGCTGCAAAATCATTTCTTGTTTCTGCGCCTCCCTTTTGAATATGCGTATCGTTCATACATTACTTTATTTATTGGCTGATTGAGGGGGCGGCTTCGACTTCTTATGAACGAGGGGGTGGTGTGGGGAGAGAGGGGCGGCATATTGGCGCCATATTTTGGCTAACGGCCGCTCGTTAGCTGCGCAAATGAGCTTTTTATGTCGTCGAATTTTAAATTAAAGCAGAACACGATTTCGGGATACATAATATAAAGATGTTTAGAGTATTTATTGAACGTTTGAACTGCTGCAACTGTTAGCCACACCTCAGGACTTACTTGGCGCCGATTCTTTTGGCCATCTTCTGGCCGATGGAATCGGCAAGCGTGACTGTACCCATCCCCATCTCTTCCTTCAGGAACCTGGACGTGCGAAACATTTGGTCTCTCTGGACAGCGCGACTCCAGTTCAGTCGCTCGGCCATGATCTCCACCACACGCGGCAGAATCTGCATGGCGGCGGCCACATCCACGAAAGCCACTCGCGTCCTGCGCGCCAGCACATCGACAGCGGTCAGGGCGTACTCGAAGAGCACCGCATAGTGTACCTCGGCCTCGATGTGGGGCAATTGGTCGTGGAGTCGCCGGTGGCAGCCATCGAAGGCGCTGAGCAGGGTGAAGGCGTTGGAGCCGTAAGACTCGGACAGATGGAAGGCCACATCGGCGGACAGGTCGAAGCTTCGCATGAGCTCGAGGGGAAGCTCCTTGGTCCAGTGAAGAGCCCCCTCAAGGGGCAGTTGGTGGGTGCAGCATTCGGACTGCGGCTGGAGTCCCACGGTCTTGATAGCCCCGTCGATGGTGCCTTCGGCCATGGCGCGATAATTGGTCCAGTCCCCGCTGGCAATGGTGAGCAGTCTCCGGTCGCTGGCCAGCAGCACAGGACGCCGAGACTCTGGACTACTGAGGCCAGGTGCGGACACAGTTGTCCACAAGCCCTTCCAGGCACTCAGAACATGTTCCTTGCCCAGCACCACATCCTGCCTGATCCGCTGCCTGAACTTGTCCAACAGCGCATCCACCTCCGTCTCCAGGGGCTCCAGTCCCAAAGCACCGTCGCTGCATCCCACCAATGTGTGTCCCTGCCAGGGTATGGCAAATATCTCCCCCGGCAGTAGTCCATGCACAGCACAACTCTTGGCGAAGTAACCCGGCAGAACTATGTGAGTCCCGGCTGTGGGGCTAGCTATCGCCAGCGCCTTGTTCGAGTCCATCTGGCGTACAGAGTCCACGAAGGCCCCCGAAGCATTGATCACACATCTGGCCTTGAGGGCCAGCTGGCGTTGGGTCAGCAGGTCCTTGACGATGGCCAGCCGAATTCCAGCGAGGTCCGGCGGCACCAACTGCTGCAGTTGGACATAGTTGGCCACATTGGCGCCCTGGCGGGCGGCTGTCAGAGCCAGGGCAAGGCAGAGCCTAGCATCGTCCATCTGCAGCTCGTAGCTGACCAGCGAGCCCTTCAGGTGGTCCATCCTGAGCATGGGACAGGCAAAATGTGTTTGTTTGGCGTTAAGGAAGTGCGAGGCCTTCAGTTTTGAGCTACCAGCCAGAACATCGTACATCTTTAGCAACAGCCACAGCCCGGGCAGGTCCCGATATTGTTCTATTGGCATTATCATCGCCACTGGCTTCACCAGATGGGGCGCTGTTTTCAGGAACAGAGCCCTCTCATGCAAGGCGTCGTACAAGAAGGTCAGCTGATTGGTGTCGAATTTTTTCAGTGCCGACTGCATGATGTGGAGTCCGCCATGGAGGAGCTTGCTGGACTTGGAGCTGGAGCCGCTGCCAAAGTCAGAGACTTCCACCAGGGCGGTCTTCAGTCCACGCGAGGCGGCATCAAGGGCACAGCCACATCCCATGGCCCCGCCTCCTATCACCAGGACATCGAAGAGGTTGTCGGTGAGGCCATCGAGCTGCTTGCTCCGGCTGGGGAGCACCAGATCTGCCAGGCTATGGCTATGAGCTTGATGCTGTGTTGAAAGCGTCGACTGGGCCTTTATGGGGGCACAGATGCAGCAGCCGGTCACATAGGGACTACGAGATAAAACACAATACAATTTAAACATTTTTGTTTGTGTTCACAGTGAAAAATACAAATACAATCTTCCATTGGGACATCTGAAGCACAGCTTATTCGGTTTATCGGCCAAGGGATAGCATCCAATACGAAATACTCGTCATTCTCTTCTGCCGTGCACTCCATTTGGCTTCTGGCTGAAAACCCCTTTCACCAAGTCACGCGCGGAATTTCCCCGACCCCTTTCCACCATAAATAAACCTATTAAACGGGTCTAACGCAGAACACTTTCACTTTTTCCAACACTGCGGCACTTGCACTACTGCATTTTTATGCTGATTAGTTTCGTTAACAATTTGCAGCACGCGAAACTATTTCGGGAATTTCAAACTTGAAACATAAATCGCAATGCCCGACCCGAACCGACCCGACCCGGCCCGAACCGACCCGCCCCTGCCCCTGCCCGAGACCGAGACCCCACTCGGTGGAGCTTGGAATGCCAGTGTTGCACCAGCAACGACGCTGAACAATTTTAATAAGTTTTGCCCAGCAGTCTGAGGAGGTAATATGGAAAAATGCATGTGCCGCACACGCGAGCTCATAATACTCGTAATAAGAATTCCACCGCCAACGTCTCGGCCAAAGGAGTTCCGGGCAGGAAGGAAGAACGACCGGCGAGAGGACCCGCGTGTGCAGCTTTTTTTCTCGACCAGTCAAGGACACTTTAAAGAAAATTATAACACTTTAAAATGCGAAAGAGCCGCTGGAAAATGAAGAATATCCAAGAAAAAATCTCTGACGGAAGCATTGCCATAAAATGGTGAAAATAGTGGAAAGCGACAAAAGGAAACAAGAGGAAAATAGTATGCCATAAAGTATGCTTTACTGCTTTGGGAGTAGAACCCACCAAAGGAGAGGGAATAGCGAGCGGAACAGACTGGAAAAGAATGCAAGGCATTTAATGCATAACTTGTGTTTATTCAGAAATAACAGAAAAAAAGAAATAGTGACTTTAAGAATATATCCTTCTGAACACAAATCATCTAATGGGGACCAGTTGCTCCGTCGAATCAAAAAAGCAAAAAACATGGGAAGTAGTAGCAGAAAAAACAAGAAAAAGCTAAGTAAAGAAGAAAAATTTGGTAAATCTCAATCAGAAGAGGGACGAGATGGACAAAATCCACAGCGACAATTTGAACGGAGACAAGCGCCAGTACGTCGGCCTCGTTTCGCATTCGAGAACGAGCCAAATATAGAATATTCCGCTCATCCGAGAGTGCTGATTGGTGCTATGCAAAAAAGGTCAATTCGGCACGGATGCAGAATCATACCTGTTCCTGAATTTGAATTTGTATTAAACCTTACGTATACATTGATGATATACATATTTGTGGGATGCTTGGACTCTAGAACATTCAGACAGAGCTAACGAAGACACCTAACAGTCGGACCATAAAATATTATTATATATTATATAGAAACGACAACTATATACAGTTTTTATATTCTCAGCATTGGGAAACTAGTAATTTCTTGCCATACCATGCATAAAATCATAATATATCCTGGCAGACATACAAAAACATTTATCTACAGCATCACATAGCCTCAGTCTCAGCATCAGCCTCAGTACAAGTCCCAGACCCAGTCGCAGACCCAGCCAGATTCAAGGAGGAGGCAGAGCACTCGCTGGGGGAATGGCACTCAGCTGCAAAACATTGGACCAAACGATAAGTGACAAACATGGTAAGGCAAACAAATGTATATTTTATACATATGCCCGGGAAAGGGGGCCGGGCCAGAGATGCACAACTGTCAGATAAGTGTGGTGAGCATTTTGCAGGGAGCATCTTTTGCCCGCAGGTGACATGTTAAACGTCTTGTAAGCATTTGCATTTCCCTGCCCATAAAATAGACGAAAGAAATAAGAAAATTGTGTTTCTGGCGAGCAGGAGGAGCGAGGAGCAACGCAAATTTGCTGTAAGATACATATTTACATACATATATGAGAAATAACTGAACAACCATGGCATGGCAGGGGCCAACATCTTTTATCTGCAGTTCATTCATTTTTGTTGGCAGCGACTTCAAAAGGGTTGAGTTGTTGGCTTTGGCTTAAAGCATATTTGATTATGTCACAAAATATCCTCGAGGATACTACCCTCTGCTCAGCTCTGCTCTGCTCTCCTCTGCTCTGTCTCAGTGTTTGCTTAGCCAAAGATAAATTTAACAAATATGCAAATAGCATACGCCCTTCCTCTGCTCCACCTTCTGACTTGTATCCACAGCAAAATGGAAAATTGTTTTTCATAAATTTTTCTAATATGCACAATTCTGCCTCATTCCCTCCTCCCAATGTCGGAGTCGAGTGGGCCAAGAACGTTCAGAAATAGACTTGGGAAACAGCAAAGGCAATAATTTTCTCCTTCGAAATTGCTTTTAATGGCAAAAGTAAACACATTTTTCCGAATATAGCAAAAATATCTTTCAGTTTGCTGAATCAAATTGGTTGCCGAATACGATCATAATGGAATAGATATCAAAGTGTTAAGTGCACTCCACGTGGAAGAAGAGAAATACATACGTACCTATATATGTACTCATTTATGTAGATGGAATCAATAATTGAGGCATTTAAATATTGTTTTCTTTAACAATTGTGTATGTAAATTATCTAGGGGAAAATTTTACGACTGCTAATAAAGACCTGCAGATATTTGGAAAATTCTTCAACTTGATTTCAAAGGTTGTTTACTTGTATAATTATCCCAGTACATACTTTCATTTAATTTTTATACCCGCTACTCGAAGGGTATAGGAGTATATTAGATTTGTGGTGAAAGGGGACCCCATAAATAGGACCTCGGCATCAATAGCCGAGTCGATAGAGCCATATCTGTCTGTCCGTGGCTCCATCCATCCGTCCCGATGAGCGTCAATATCTCAGAAACAATAGGACCTATAGCAAAAAGGTATTTTATTCAGACTCCTGTTATATCACACTGTTATAAGTGTTTTCCGCCCCCACAAAGGAAGAAAATCTGTGGCATCCACAATTTTGAATATACGAAAAAAACAAAAACGCAGAATCATAGTAAATGACCGTATCTATTGACGAATCTGGATCGGATCGGAAGGAACTAATAAAATTACGGGAGGGAACAGTGTCCCAGTGAGGGAACAGTGTAAAGGAAATAGGAACAAATAAAATCTAAATATATTTTTTTGCCAGAAGTCCATTTATCTATATAAAATAGACTCACAACGTTCCCGCTGGTCATTCATTAGTTTTCATAAATAAATATCAAAATTTCAATTATGATTTAGAAAAAATAACTTTTGGGAGCTCTGACCTATATTGGTTTCGTAATCGTTTCCCCAACAAAAGAAAAGATTTTATTTGACATAATCTTTTGCCTCCCTCCCACTTATTCCGCCCTCGTTGTCCATCAAATCAATCACTTCAATCAATCAAATAAGAAGCCCATTAAAAGCGGCTCATTAAATTATCAAAGCACTTACCCTTTGAGGGAATCTCGGCGAGAGCGGGCGTGGCTGTCATCAGCATGGTAACTGCGGCATTTATAATCAGCAGTGTGGCCAGGTGCCGAGCACGGACACGGACACGGACGCGGACACTGGCCTGTGGGCGTAGGCATTGGCGGAGGCGTTTGCGGGGGCGTGGTGGCCAGTGTGGCTCTGACATGGCTCTCAAAATCCTTTTCCTTAGTTCCTTCTGCAATGGGCAAGGGGAAAATTTTCAGCACTCACGTTGAGTTGCCAAAATGTTCGAGCACCACCACCGCACCTCTTGGATGGGGTGTGGGTGAGTGGATTAGGGGGCGTGGGGCGTGGGGCGTGGGGGCACGGCGCACACTGGCTGGTAACATTTTCACCTTTAATCACTTAAACGGCGCGTAATCAACAACAACAACAGCAACAGCAGCAACAGGAAGAAAAAACAAGCAGGTTGCAATCAACACCGACATCGTCGACAGGATTGAAATGGAGCGTCACGACTAGGAGGACGACGACGATGATGATGATGGGTGTACGGATGATTCTGGTGCTAGGGGCCGACGGTGGCTACGATGATGACGTGCGGGTTTGCCAGCACTTAACATGGCAATCGTGCCCCCCAGCCCCACACCAGACCAGCGCAGCGCAGCGCCGAGCAGAGCAGAGCAAAGCAGAGCCCCAATCCGGATCCGGATGCGTGGCAAAAGTCAAAGTTGTTGCTGCTCTTGTTGTTGTTGTTCTTCCTGTTTAGACGAGCTTCTCGTTCATAGTTTGGCATTGACTTTAGCTTTTTGACTTCTGACTTCTGATTTTGGCTTTATGCCGACATTTGTTTGTGCGTTGCTTTGAATTTTTCGCGCCCCGCCTCCCCCCGTCGAAGTTAATTTTCGAGGGCGTTAATTTGAAGCGTTTGGGACTCAAATTTGTTGAGTGGAATATCTTCAGACAGCCATCAGACAGTAATTTGATTTGTCCGCGGAAATTGGATTTTGTCTTAACAGCAATTTAACAAAAGCCTTTAAGTTGTCTTGTCCGATGGAAGGGGGAGATTGGCGAAGTTTTCGACGGGCTTTTGGACAGACGCATGGTCGGGGAAGGGAGTACGGAGTTGTAGTTGAAGGGTTATTCTCTGAGATTTCAATTAAGAGTAAAAGTTTAAATAACCAAGGGGGTGTAACGATAAGGAAGACCCAAGAATAGTTGAAATGTTATTGTATATCTGGGAGAAATTCTATTAAATTTAAATGATAAATTGGTTAATCGAATTACTTTTGAATTAAATAAACGCCTCAACGAGTAATTATACAAATATGTCCTAAATTTGTGCAAATAATTTGTGAATCTCAGGGCTCTCCCAACCAGTCAGTGGATGCCCAAGGCAATGCTTTATTTTCGTTTCGGCCTCAATTTGCAATGTCGAGCTGTCAACGCTGTGCTTGCCAGCAAATCAAGTCTGACAAATGAAATGATTACACAAAGTAAACAGCAAACACGTAACACACAAACCACCTGTCAGAAAGTTTTCTGCAAAAGACATCGCCCGCCCAACGCGGTGAAAGTCGGGGGCAAAAGCGGACAGTGCACAGAGCATGACAGCGCTTTACAAGGGGAAAGCCAGAAAGGAATATTATCGGCAGCAACAAGAGCAACAATAACTGCGAGTATAAGACAAACAAAACAGACGAACCCGAGCGGCGCAGGGCGCACCAAAAATGCAACGGCGATGCCAGCAAAATGGCAATGGCAACACTTCCGTTTCCGCTTCCGACGCTGCGGGCGACTCGCAGCAACTCTCGCACAGTTGGCACAACGTTGAGCAAACTCAAAAGCAACAGCGACAGTAGGACGGCAGGATGGCAGGACGGCAGCGAAACATAACAAAGCTTGTTAGTGTTGCACCCCATACCGTTGCAACAGCAACAGTGGTGCCGCCAAACTGCTCCCCATGACACTCTTCCAGTGCCACCCCTTGCCAAAGGGATTGGGGATATCCAGCAGAGGGAGGCTCCGGGCTGGGTGCCAGGACACGGAACAATGGCGACGAAACGTACAAAAATTTTAAACGCTTTTAATATTAAAGCGTCCGGTATGGAGACACAAAAGCCGAAGCAGGCAGTGGCACACAGGACAACCAACGAGCAATATGCAACAAGGCGTGCCACAGAAACGGCAGCAGCACCACCAGCAGCTCGAGGAACAACACCAACACCAAGGCATAACATTGCCGATGGCATGCGGGGCATGCAAAAAGTGGCAACTGCATGAAAATGCGAGACAAAACAAAACAAGGAACGGAGAATGGAGTCTCAAATATGCCAAAGAAGACTTGGTTATACCCCGTACTGTCACAATTTAACAAAGAACTCATCAACTGAAGTGTAGGCAGAGCTATCAAGGACTTGAATCAAGCAAATACTTTAGAAATTACTGAAACTATAAGGTTATGTTAATGTAACACTATTTAAATCCAAATTAACATAAATTGTTAAAAATAAGTGCAAAAGTAGAACAAAATTCTAATTGAATGATTAATCCATGATTAAAAATAATTGTATAATTTTTACAATTATTAAATAATAATTTTTAGAAAGTTAAGAAAAGCGAGATCATTTTAATATTCAAATGAAAGTATTCATTTATGTTTAGGTGTTTAAATCCACTTCAAAGAATCCTGTTTCACAATTGATCATAAAAATATGATTTAAAATATCGGATAAATATCCCGTAAGAATAAAGCCGAATGGCGTGTGATCTTCTGTAAAGTAACCCAACGAATCCGCGCAACCAACGATACCCTATAGAGGGGCCAGATTCCTACAGGAGGCGATTCAACCAACAGAGTGCCTCAGGCCAGGACCTGGGCGTCTCTGCCATACCCGTGGACCTTGCCATCACCCCAGCCCTACCGCCGACCTAGCCGGGAGTGCATTTTTTGTGCAGTTCTTAGACTCTGTGGCCAGTTGGCCTCTTCGTGACGAAAATGTTTCGCTTAACTGGATTTTCAAATATTTATTGCAACAAATTATTTTGCTGGTTACACCGCGGCCAGAGCCAGAGCCCGAGCCAGAGCCAGGGCCAGGGCCCTGGGCTTGTGTCTCAGCATTCCCTGCCCTTGTCCTGCTCCTGCTCGAAAGCGGTTTTTATTGCCATTTAGTTTGTTTCATTCCAGTGAAAGGATTTGGTGTTGAGATTTTTGCGGTTTTTTGCACAATTGCAGACAAATTAGGGTATTACAGCTGTATACAATTTATTTCGAGTGTAAAATCCTATAAATTACGGTTGAATTGCTTTGTTGTGGCAACGCAAGGAATTTCGAATGCCAAAGCAAATAGTTTTTATTGTCTGATGATCACTGTGTTTGGAATTTGGAATTTCAGTTTAAATCTTTTCGAAATAGTAAACATTTTAGTTCCATGAATTAATAGTTTCCTTTAAAATATTCGGATGTAATTTAACCAAATAATAAGCAAGTAAACACTATAATCGTATCTGGAATTATTACAAAATCTTTTGTTATGGTGAATATGATTTCGAATAGAGTTTAAGGACCCTAAATATATTTTACTTTGATTAACCGGGATGTTCTGTCTTAAGACTTCTCGGAGATGAGCATGGCTTCTACGGATCTTTATTTTTGATGTCTTTTTATAAAAATTCTGTTGATAGAAGAGCAGAAGAAGAAGAACTGTGACAAACAACATTATATACTTCTACATTCTATCACAATCATGAGATCTCTAAGGTCTTAAGATCTCATAAGAATATAGAATTCAAATATCTTCACTTAAACTTTGGATATCACAAAATTTTTTCGTGTTTACTTAAATGAACGTATTTTCGTAATCTCTTCAAAAATGTGAAATTTCTTAATTCTTGAATGTCACCACCTTTAAGACACGTCCGATTTATTCTTGAATGGAAATTAAATTGGCAACCAATCTTCTGTGAAGGTCTGCTGCCGCTCAAACTATAAATTTGGCCCCCGTAAAGCCCAAGTTTACCGTCTCTACTCGCAAAACCCCCAACAAAGCACCAACAAATGTCGCATATGCGGTCAGAGAGGTGGACTAAATGTTTGCAGCCAGGGTGAAATTGTGCTGCAACATAACAAGCAATTTGGTAATTACATCAAATTAAGCACGCAAATGCAAAAGTAACGGGGAACCGAAGTTGCCACACGACAGATGCGATGCACAGAAACTTTCACTCGCTCAGAACTTTGGCGAAGGCTGCCAGAAGCCGGCAAATGACAGCGACGGGAAGAACGACAACGACAGCGACAACGACAACGACAACGACAGCGACAACGACAGCGGCACCGGCAGACGCGCACCGAACCACATTTCGTGTGGGGAAATAAAAGCGTGGGAGAATTTCGCGCGGATCGCAATTCGAACGGCAGATAGTTTAGTTTTGTTCCGCGTTGTTCCGGCTCTCGTAGCGCGTCCGTTCACTTGGAAACCCGATGCACGAGTGAGCTGGCGGCCGACTTCATTGGTGGAAATGGCTTTCGCATGGGCCGAACGACGCTCGCTTCGTTCTGGCCCTCGTTGGCCATTCGGTTTTTCGAAATTCGAACTTGTTCGCTGGCAGAGAGAATGAATTCTGGCCGACTGGAAGGCAACTGGGAACGGTTTATTCTGCTCTGCTCTCATCGGGAGTTTATGCTTTGATGTCCTACGAGGAAATTCAAAGGAATTTACCTTTGAATTGTAGTTGTTCCATTCCCTCAAACTGTCGTAAATTGCGCATCTTAGGATGTTTGATTTACTAAAAATTTTAATATGAAATATGGAATAAAAATTACATGTTGAACATCGTAAACGAGTACCATTACTGGTACTCATGGAAGGGTGACAATCTTTCCAAGACAACACTTTTATTTAAAACGGTTTAACAGCCTCTTAACTCGACCAACATTTGCCCCACACAAGAGAAACAGAAACAGAGACAACAACTACCGAGAAAAGGACCACAGTCCGATATACAAGTCCGTAAGCCCCAACTAGCTCCTCCACCATATTAATACCAGTGGGTACGTATCCACAAGCAAATTAACACGCATATTCAAAAAGAACAACTGCATAAATTGGCTTATCTGCTAGACACACACAAAAATGCTGTGTAGCGGGCCGCTCCTCCTTCCACTCTAAGCGAATGTCAAAAGCAGCTAACCAACAACTGAAAACTGAAAACTGGCAACAACCGACTGCTTACCACAATAAAAATATTCCACATACGGAGAGTTGCCTGCTGGCATCATTTAGATAAATATAACTCGGCAACTTAAAACCAAGCCGTCGGACTGTCTGACCAGGGAAACCGAACCACACCGAACCACACAGCAGCACAAAAGTCCCAAGCAAGCAGTCTCAGTTCGGGCCATGAATAGAATCAACAACAAGCAAAAATAACAAAAAAGGAAAAAGAATAAGGCCAACAACATAAAATAAACTAATACGAGTATGGCATTGTTCCCGAGCTCTGAAAATCTTCAAGTGGTTGGGCGGGAATCGAGTTAAAGCAAACTCTTGTTGCTGCTGAAACTTGACCAACAGTTTAATCTGAAACTGGAAACAATTCGGCTCGACCCGGCATCATTATTCACCAGGACAGGGCCAAGAGTGGAATGGGTCCAGTGGGGGCGGGACATATGATGAAAAAAGGGTGGCCATGATGATGGCAAGGACTCTGCTGACCTGCAAAGTTGACAAACGGCGCATCACTCAACGGCATCGCCAACTGTTTCCGACTCTATATACATACATACTCGTGTGTGTTCCGTTTACATAAATGAATGTATGTGTGAGTGTGTCCTCTTCAGATCCTTTTCAAAGCGCATTAAAACGTATTTAAAAACTTCATCCCAAAGTGGGTCATTTATAAGTTTATCCCCATGTATTCTTTAAATGCAAACAAACTCTTTGGGCTTGCCCTTTGGACAGCAGCCAGCAGAGAAAAGCCTACAAAATGGACCAAAAAACAAAACGGAAAATTTCATTGGATAACCCACGAATATTTTAAAGTGTAAAGTGTAGCAGAGAAATCAGTTTGGTATCATTTTGGTGTTAGTTCTTTCTTGAATTCCCTGAATTACACACGATGCTGATGCAAGCTATAATGAGCCCCTACTATTGTAGGGAACAAGGCTGAATAGTAAAGCAAATATCCCCCAATCTGATCACCCAGTGTACTGCATCTTCACTTCTTTAAGATTGCTTCGGACAGCTTTCAAAAGAACCTTTTGAATCTAAGCCAGTTAGAGCTCATGAGTGTAAGCAAATCGCTTTGGCTGTGAAATCCTTTGCCTGCTCCTCCATCGACAGGCATCGGCACCTCCTTTGGGATCAGCATTTAGTCGAAATCCAAGAGCCCTGCTGCTCTCTGCTGATGTCATGCTGGAAACGACACCCAGAAGTGCGGGCATTAAATGAAAGTTTTCCATTCTTTCCTCCCGATGCAATTGGTGTAAATTGCAAGAGCATAAAAAGCAGACGAAGAAGGATACAAGAAACCCGTGCTACTGGCTCAGTGGCTGGCTTTTTGGGACCATCTAGTGGCAATTGATTCCTCCGGCAACTGCCTGGGCGTGGCTTGCCCCTACTTAAATCGCATTAGCAACAAGCAGCCGGAGGAAAAACAACAAGCTGATTGCACTGAGAGCGTAAATTGCTGCCAAAAATTGAAGTGTTCAGCAAATATATGCACAAAAGACAAAAACTAAGCCAGAGCTGTTGCTGGCCAAAACCATCATTTTGTGGCCACGAACAATGTTCTCATATTCCAGCAAAGTGGATGCCCCTACTTGGAGTCTCCGAGACCCATTACCGTATTTATTCCGAATGCTTTCTGTGGGTGGCTATTATCGCATTCGCCACTGGCCGAATGCTCTTTTTGCCTGTTGTCTGTTGTCTGCATGGACATGGACTGGAGCCAGACCCCACATCAATTTCGTACTGCATTCAAACTCGATCTATTGCCAGAAAGCCAGCCAAAGTCAAATCAGAACAATAGTGCACAGCCGCCTGCCATTGCGGCCGGATGGAATCAGCTTACCCTTTTGTCCATTTCTTATGGCGCAATTAAGCAGATTTCGATTTCCCCCTTAAGTGGCTTTAGTTACCATAGCCCCGGCCATGCTAGGAGCACTCAAAATAAATATTTGATGTCCTGAAATTGATGTCCCTTGGATAATTGCTTCGATTTGCAGCAAATCAATTCCAAGCGGAACTCGAACTCTCCAACTCGTATAAAAATAAATACAAGCAAACATTCTGTGTGAACGTTAATCAAATTAATGTGTACTTAATAAATGCCATTAAATTTTTATTACATTCTCACCCGCAAGCCGAGTGGAATCGCTGTGGCTGTGGCTGGGCCTGGGGCTGGGGCTGCTGGGTCCATCGGCAGGTACATAAATTGGTTAAATCGTTTAGTCGCTTTCAGACAGTTCAAGTGATATATATGTCAAATGGTGGTCCAACGAGTGGATAAACGATCCGTTCAGTCTAGCATAATTTGTGTGAAGCAAGTCCCATATGTGTTTCTTAGGAAGGAGTTTAATGTTAGAGTCCTGTCAGAGGGGTTGATACATGTTAATCTAGAGGGTTTTTTCATTACTTTTTTGGTCCATAGAAACTCTCCAAAGTATTATTGACACCCTCGGCAATCTCCGGTAATCAAAACTCCGCAATACAGCCCTCATACAACGTCGATTCAATTCGCAACAGAGCCAGTGAAAGAAACAGCTAAAACAGACCTAATAGCTGCTCCATGGCCAGTGCCAGTGCTAGTGCTTTTGTGGGCTAGAGCGGGCGAGTTATGGCCGCCATTTCCGTTTGGTTTTCACAACTCAACGCGCCGACTTCCTCCCACCTCTGGGCGATCTCCGCTCCGAAGACTGAGCCCAGCTTCCAGTGGGCTTCAATTTTATCGCTACCAATTTACTGCCGGCGCTCTATGTGGGTTTTTTGTTTCCTTTTGCGGGTGTTCTTTTTACTTTTTTAGCAATACCGAAGGAGGTCACTGCATTCTCCATTGTGCTGACCTCCGTTCTGGTGGGTGGAGACCCGTGATTTAGGTATAGGTGATTAGTGTTGGGTTATCGGCTCAGATTTCCAGTACGGTCCTACATCTCAGATGCTAATCTGCAAATACTGATTCAATTCCCACATGAAAGGCAACAGGAAATGCCAAACACTTCAGACAGCAGAAGCCAGTCTACTCCAAGGCGGATGCAACATGCCATACAATATTGAGTGGTATACGTATACGTATAGGTCCTCTGTGTGCTGTGTTGAGTACTGTGTTATCATTGCCATTGTCAATGATAATAGCAACAACAGCAGCAGCAGCAGCCAACAGAGGAGTTGCAGCAATAACAACTGCAACCATGCCACTACAAATAATATCAAAACTTTGTAGGCACGCCAACTTTGTGAGCTCACAACTAGGATGGGGAGGGGCCACGGCCCGGTGGCGGAATGGGCAGGCCCGTGTGCTTCAAGTCCTTCCATGATCACGGCCATTGTTTACGGCTCTTCATTCATTTATGCATCAAAATGGGGCAAAACAGTGGACAGTGTAAATAGTTATATTGTTGCTTTCGAGATGATATGGATGGCTTGAAGTATTGCAATATGTTTTTCTTCCATTTTCACTGAAATGGAATACCATTTAAGACGAAGTCTTCCACCTTAAACAAACTTGGATTAAAATTATATATAGAATAGGGCTCATCATTAGGATAGGATGTAAGTGTACGACTTGAGCCCACTGTGCCGTCTATGGCGGTCTATGGCACATTCAAGTGCAACAAATGCATAAATTAAACTATGTTGAGAGTCAAGTTTAGCCGAGTATGCGAGTGCGTATGTGTATGCCAGCGGTGTGAGGGTGTTGCTGTGCGAGGAGCGTGCATGTTCTCCATTATCGATACCAAAAGACATTATCAGCACACATGCACCGTCGGGCAGGGAGGGAGGTCAGGGAAGCGGCGAAGAAAGCACCGGCGAGGCATGGGCATGCATAAAACATGTTTTGGTCGGTTGGCAGCAAATTGAATCAATAATATCCAATCAGGGGTTAACAATGCGAATTGATTTCTAGCAGCCATGCAAGCGATGCAAGCAAGGCGCCATCCAGTCACCAAGCCACCCCATCCGACTCCTGTGCCTGCCCCTGCCCCTGCTCCGGCTCCTGCTCCGTCAGGAAGACCGGCGCCTGCACATATGCAAACATGACAGCCCAAGAAGATAAGGCCAACAACAGCAGTGGCAGCCATCCCCCATAACCCCCATCCCCCCGAAATTCAACAGCCTGGGCCTGGACCTAGAACTCATGTAAATATTAATTAAGTTTTGGCTTTTGCAGCATGCGACTTCGGTTTTTGTAGCAAGCCTTGCGGCCATCCAGCTCCTGGCTCCTGGCTTCTGGCT